CTCCATGAATTCCCCATGAATTCTCTTCTGAACTCCTTGAGAACTAACTGCACTCTCTTAGAACCGGGAAGTTGTCACATTTTAAATGAGTTTACTTCCGAGTTTTCTTCAGAGCTTTCTGATTCGTGGATGGACCAGAAAGAGGAGTGGTTTTGACGTAAGGTGTTTATCAAAAGTCGAGGTCAGAGAATGAAATTTGTTTAACAACTGACAGAGAGATTATTGCAAAAAGCAGACTTCGTGGAGTCTCTATTCTGATTATCTTCTCAAATAGTTAAACATGACATTTCTTCTTCAGTAAACATTTAGTTGACCGAAGCTTCAACTTTCACACACTTACGACTTGGCTCATTTCAGACAGAAAATCAAGAAATGCATATTCAGGTGATTTCTTCTTTGAATGAGGAATAAAAATCATTACTTACTGTTTATGTAAAATAAAAATGAGTAGTTCTTTTCAACCTATAAGCATTGAGTGAAACTAACACAATTTGATTATCAAAACATTTGTAAAACAGTAATGATTATAGAGGATTGTCTTTTCTGCTTGATTAATTCAAGAAAGAAAGTCATCAGATGGCTCAGACTTATTCAGATCAATGAAAATAACAGTCTCTGTCCATCTGGTAGATTTGAGGTCATCAGGGTCAGATAAGGGTCAGATCATCAGGTCATCAGGTTCACTACACATGTATGTATGTATGTCTGTATCATGTATGCATGTATGTATGTCTGCATCATGTATGTATGTATGTATGTATGTATGTATGTATGTAAGTATGTCTGTATCATGTATGTATGTATGTATGTATGTATGTATGTATGTATGTATGTATGTATGTGTAGTGGACTAGGCCTACGTCGAAACCAAGTCTAAGGTCAAAACTCTTGACCTTTAGAACCTTGTGGGACAGGAACTGTCATTTCATGTATTTGAATACATAAATACAGGTTCACTCATCCTGAGACTTTCTTTCTTGAAGATTCAAGTGAAAAGAACACTCTCTTTTTATTATCATTACTATCTTACAAATGTTGATAATCAAAGTGTCTTAGTTCAAACCATTTTAGATGTTGCAGTGAACTAATCAATTTTATTAACTGAGTAATGATTTTTATTCTCATGCAGTTAGAACTCATGTTAAAAGCTGTTACAGAGTAATTATGCATTTTTCTGATTTCTGCTTTTGAATGAGCAAGTGTGTGCGTTTACAAGGTTACAGTCAAACGAAAAACAAGTTGTTATGTTAAAACTGTCATGTTTTAGAATCCTCTCAGACGTAAGTAGAGATGTTTTGCACCTGTTTCCTGAAACACGCCAAAACAAAACCCTCTCGGTCTGTGAGAACATTTCTGATCTGTCTCATAACAATTCTCGCTGTCTCTAACCTCTTACGTCACAAAACCCACCCCGTCTGGTCGTTTCTGACCAATGAACAAATCCCAAAAAGTGAACCGGGAAAGAGTCTTTAAAATGTCAGTACTTCCTAGTCTACACAGACTCAGAGAGTTGTCGGAGTTCTAAGAGTTCTGAGAGCGTAGAGTTCGGTGAGAGTCTACTCAAGTTCTGCTGAGTTCTGATGGAGTGCTGTTGGAGTTCCTGACATGACAACAAAGCTCTCCCGAGTTCCATGGGATTATAACATTTTCCACTGAGGTGAATATGTGTCGAACAGAGCCTCGCCATTACTTCGGACGAGTAACAGCATCCTACTGAGACGCTGAAAGGGTGCGTTAAACGGAATCTCACCTGAGACATCTCCAGGTAAAGGAGCCGATTTCATCACCTAAGTGTACTGTAAGGAAAAGCTGAAGAAAGCCGGAGAGTGTCGATTCTGGTGAACACTTAATTTCCCTCACATACCATCTTAACTCCCTCTAAACTTCTTTCCATCTTTAAACTTTTCTATCAAGTAGAAATTCTTCCAGATATTTAGAAATGTCTGTGTAAAATGCTCACCCACATTCATGTGGGCAAAAGATCATAGTTGTACAGTTTTCATAAATGTCTTTGGTGCAGCAACGGAAAAATCATGGCCGTATGATTTTTCCTGATTGATTGCTTTGTTGTTATTTTCATAATTTGCCAAATTAATGTACATGTTTGATGTTAAATTTGATTCTGTAAATAAATGACCGCATTCATTTTGATGGGTCAAATCTAAATGACGTCTCACGTTTGCATTTCCTTAAATTCAATGCACGTTTTATTCAGTCCAGAAAAATGAGGAACCCGCGTTAAATGATGAATATATCCCAGCATCTGTTCATCTACATATGTATGTATGTATGTATGTATGTATGTATGTATGTATGTATGTATGTATGTATTTATGTATGTATGTATGTATGTAAGCATGTCTGTATCATGTATGTATCTATGTATAGCCCTATTTGAGCTGGATTAGTTTTACCTAGGGACCACATGTAATAAATAAATTACTCCCCAACGTCTGCTTTTTATGTGGTGCATTTTCACGGGATAACAAAAGCCTGAGATTTAGCTGAAATTTACAGACATCTTCCGGATATGATGTTAACACGCTGCAAGTTGCTTTAAGCTCAAATGGACAAACTATCACCGGCCGCGTGTGTCCACTGACCCGCCGGTTGAAATGGACTTGTGACCTGTCCAGGTTTTCCCCCACCTCTCATAAAGTGAAGACTGGACATGGGCACCAGCTACCACCGCTACCCAAAAAGGATGAAGCGGGTAAATATAATGAATGGATGGATGGATGGATGGATCGATCAGCTGATCACCAGCTGCGTGCATCTGCAGTGAAGGAAGTAGCAACATCTACAAAATTTTCTAGAATTGTTCTAGAATTGCGCCGCTCAAGGTGGCTGCATGTTGGAGCAGCTCTGTTACATTCATTTTGAGATTTTGCTTTTGGAAACTTTATTTCCTCTTTTTCTGGATGTAAATTGCATTTTTTGGATGATTGTTTCCTCTGGTATCAGATGCTGTGCAGCTGGAAGGATTTTTACTGAAACTTTTTTAGTTTTGGACATTTGCTATGATGCATAACCATGGCAACAAGGCAGTTTTCTACAACTAACAGCTGATTAACATCTCAAAAGCTCAAATAATATCTCAACTACAGCCCCAAATCTCAAATGAGTTGAAATGATGTTTTGTGGACGCATTCTCATCTACCTGCCAGCTGTGCTCGAGTGCCTGATCACTGAGATCCTGGAACTAGAAGGAATGGCCATCGCTCTGGGATGAGTTCTGCCCAGCATTTGGGCGGCCCTATAGCCCGAGGGGAACCGAGAGGCCAGCCGAGTCTGGATGGACGGATCAGACGGCATCTGCAGCCAGTTTCTTAGGATCCACTGTGGGATGGAACTTTACAAGAGATCATTCCTGTCTACAGCTATCAGTGTCTATAACATCTCTTAATGAAATGAGGATAATGAGTTACAACAACAAATAATTTCCCTCTGGGATTAATAAAGTATTTTTGAATTTAATTGAATTGAATTTGAAAGCCAAAGCAAGCAGCACATTAATTTAAAATAGACTTGTTCCATATTTTTCTAAATGATTTTGATTAGTAAACAAAAAGAAAAACCGCCTGAATACGTATTGGATCTCACCCATTTCTGTCCAAATCACAGAGATGCCTAATCGCATTGGATTAGTATGGACCTTGGAGTTCAGCAAAATATAGTAGGTAATTTGCAGGGGAATTTTTACTTTACAAATTACTGACATGGCCGATTTGCACGGGATTAACAACACAGGCAATCTCAGTAATTATTACAAATAGCATGTGGTCCCTAGATAAAACTAATCCCATGTGAATAGAACTTGTGTCTGTATTATGTACTGATATGTATGTACGTATCATGTATGTATGTATGTATCATGTATGTATGTATCAGGTATTTTACATTGCTTCATAATGCACCTGTTTTTTGTTACTTTTTAATATAATTTCTTCCATTTACTTTTCATTTTATATGCTTTTTAAATGATTGTTTAATGTTGTCTGTACCTCGTCTGTGTTCTTTGTTTAAAACAGGTCTCTCTTGTAAATGAGTCCTCGTGGCTTAATGAGACTAACCTGTATAAATAAAGGTTGAATGAATGAATGAATGTATGTCACTACCTTACCATCATAATTCATCTCAATGTTACTCACTACTTGTGCAATAATAACCTGTCACACAACCTGTGTAGTATATGTTATGTGCAGTATATATCATGTGCATTTAAGCGATATTACTACATGTGAAATACTTATTTATACTAATTAATCCTACTTGCATAATTATATTCTACTATGTTGTTTACTATATTTCTTTTGGACCTTGAATATATTTTATTTCTATTTCTTTTTCACTTGTGGTACTTTATTTTGTACTTTCATTGCATGCTTTAGTATTTCTTGTTTTGTTTTTTTAGCAACTCAAAACGGTTCTTCTCATCCTGAACATTTCATTGCATAGTTGACCTTGTGTTAACCTGCATATGACAAATAAACAATACCCTAATAAATGAGCCTATTAATAACATAAAGATGAATGAAACAAATAAGTCTGAATATGGGCAAAAAAATAGTTGTCAAGGAGAGGTGATAACCTCATGTGGAGACACTTCAAGGATCACAGTAAAGTACTGCTTCCTCACAATTCTTCATCACACACAAACAACTGTAGTTACACAACAAGAGTGGGGCATTGATGACTAACTACAATTGAGTTTCCAGAACCACACAGATGTCCACACATTCCCTTTGTCCAGAGTGTTGTATATAATAGGACACGTCTATTCCAATAAACCGGTCAGTTAAACTAATCAGAACTGTAATCACTCGTGTCGTGGCTCAATACTAATGCCCAAAGAGATGTACCACAAAGATCCCCATCAGCTCGTTTTATTTATTTCAAGCTCACTGCCCAAGATCAATTGACCTAAAAATAAACCGGAAGAGAAATTTTAGTTTTGTTTCAGCACATTAATTTGTGAATTGGATCAATTACTGGTGACAATGACTGAACATGGTAATTTTTATTGTACGGACTGAAGAGCCCAAAAATGGCCTGAGCTATCATTGCTCGGATTTTCCGGATTTACAGATGTACCATATGTTCATATAACCTTTTGTTTTTTATGGACATGCTTGACCCAGGTTTGACATATAAACAGCGTGATGTCACTGCCGTGTCCATGTTTTTGTGTGTCTTTGTGTTTTGCTGACAATGACTTAAATTTTTCATTGTTTTCCGACCCACACACGATGATGTTTTGGTATCAATAAAAGTGGGAAAAACAAAATCAAGAATGTTTTTTGAGCAAAATTGTTCTTCTTTACATAAAATGGCCACATAGTGGAAATGATCACAATGTTCTTATTCTATTACCTAAATGAGTAAACAATTTCTTTCTTTATTTAAGATTTTTGTTTAAAAATGATTTTCTTTTCATAAATGTCTTAGATCAAAATATTATAATTTGACAATGAGTAAAATTTTAATTGTATAATGCATTTTATGGCAAATATATATATATTGCCAACAAAGTTTACCACCAATATCAAAAAAAGGCAAACTGATTTATAGTCAACAAAACAAACAAAATACCACAAAAAAAAGTACAAAAATAACATTGGGATTACTTTCAGATCAAAAACATCAAAACACCACGACCACAACAATGGGAATCAGACACCCCAGGCTTTGGCTATAATCTGTTTTGGCTTTGACTAATGAGATGAGGCAGAGGTGGGGGTGAGGAGCGTGTGTGACGTTTAGATGCCAACAATACATGTTTATAGTGTTCATTTGAGGGGGGCTGTTATGTGGCAGCGAGCTTAATCTTTACCCCACTACTTGTCCCTAATCTTTCATCGGTTTGTCTGTGCTAATCTACTTTATGAAAGCTTATCAACCTAATCATCACACACAGTGACAGTGCATATGGTGATACATTACATGCTAATGACTCAGCACATGGAGTTGGAGCTCTCTGTAAATGGTAAATGAACTGTTATATAGTGTCTTTCTATCTTATCAATATACTCAAAGTACTTTACACTACAATCTGTGTCCCTCATTTACCCATTCATACAGCACTCTACATCTCTACAAAGCTAATTAAACAAATCATTCTAAAGAGACTAATCAGTGCTTTAGATCACATCCATACACTGAAGGGACACACATAAGAGGCAATCAGGGGTTCAGTGTCTTGCTCAGGGACACTTCGGCATGTAACTGCTGGTGGAATCAACCCCTATCTCTTGTACTGGAGGACAACTGCTCTAATCACTCAGCCAATAAAATTAAAGCTTGCACAGAGACCCGCCTATGGGAATGCTGGTCTCATTCCGGTTTTAACTTCCAGGATCCAGTGTGCAATTCAGAGTTGCTATATTCAGTTAATGGGGGCCGAGATGGGGTAGAGGCAGGACAGCCGACTTGGGACCCGAAAGTCCGCAGGTTCGATCACTAGTCATTGCACATCTCGTGGTGTCTCTGAGCAGGACACCCTATCCCCAATTGCACCCCAGCCACCCTCAATAGCTGCCCACTGCACCACCTGGTGGTGGATGGATTAAATGCAGAGAGGCAATTTTGCCATTGTATGGGGACATTCAATGATGACAACACATAACCTGGGCCGGATTTTAGCAGGGGCTTACAGGGGCTGCAGCCCGGGGCCCCGGCATTTCAGGGGCCCCGAAGGATGTTTTATGTTTTTGTGAATGGATAGTGTCAGAATTTAATCAATGACTATGATGATTTTGACAGCACCGATGAAAAATGTTCCAATTTGTTCTGGAAAACGTCCATCTTGAATGCTTGCTTGTTATTGGTCCACTTTTGACGCATCTTACGCATTGGGGAGGAGCGTCAGGGAATATTATTTTACAATGGCAGACAACAGTGTTTGTGGTTCTAGTTCCTCCAAATAAGATGAATGCAGAAGTGTCATTAATAAATGGAAATCTGTATTTTGTTCTTCATATTTTTCAAGATGTTCTCTGTAAAAACCTTGGTATATATACATATATATATATACATATATACATATATGTATGTATGTATATAGGGCCCCCATATACAGTATTGACTCCAGCCCAGGGGCCCCCATCCTCCTAAATCCGGCCCTGCCTGTGTGCAACATCCAACATGTAATAATGTTTGTGTGCTGTTTTTGCAGTAACAACAGTAAAAACTTTAAAAAACTTGTTGTGCACTGTGTTTTAGAGAAAACATGCCCTGCAGGATGGAGGATGTTCAGATGTTCCTGTTACTTCTTCTCTACGGCAACTGCTTCCTGGGATGAGGGCCGAGAGGACTGCAGGACCAGAGGAGCAGATCTGGTGGTGGTCAACGATGACCACGAACAGGTGCAGAGTGTTTGTGCAGTGATTCTCAAACGGTTAGTCTCAATGAGTCACGAGGACTCATTTACAAGAGAGACCTGTTTTAGACACACAAACATATACAAAAATAAAAGCAAAGTAAAAAAAATAGTGTTATTAAAGCACTGGTCCTCTTAGCAGCATGGTCCTGTTAGCAGCATGATCCTGTTAGCAGCATGATCCTGTTAGCAGTGTGGTACTGTTAGCAGCATGGTTCTCTTAGCAGCATGGTTCTCTTAGCAGCATGGTCCTGTTAGCAGCATGGTCCTGTTAGCAGCATGGTTCTCTTAGCAGCATGGTCCTGTTAGCAGCATGGTCCTGTTAGCAGCGTGGTCCTGTTAGCATGCTGGTCATGTTAGCAGAGTGGTCTTGTTAGCATGCTGGTCATGTTAGTAGCGTGGTTCTGATAGCAGCCTGGTCCTGTTAGCAGCCTGGTCCTGTTAGCAGCGTGGTCCTGTTAGC